AGGTGAAGACCCCCCTGCACAAAGCCAGTATATAAAGACTGGCAGAGGTGGTTCTTTTTTTAAATGTCAAAATCCTGGCAATAAAATTTACAAGGTATTAAAGGACAGAGAAACAGAGCCCTTCAAAGGACCAAATATAAACTTCCAGGAACTGACCCTAACAAAATGTAGATTTATGAGCTATCTGACAAAGAATTTAAAATAACTGTCATAAAGATGCTTACTGAGCTAAAAGAGAACAAAGACTACTAAACAAAACCAGGATAATTCTCCATTAACAAAATGAGAATATCAACAAAGAGACAGAACTATAAAAAAGAACCAAACAGAAATTCTGCACCTGAAAAACACAATAACTGAATTGAAAAATTAATTAGATGGGTACAACAGAAGACTCAATCATGTAGAAGAAAGAACAGTAAACTAGATGACAGGCCATTTGAAATCAGTCGGAGAGAGTCTGAGGAACTTACGATGTACCATCAAGCAGGTAGAGACCCATATTCTAGGAACACCAAAGGCAAGAGGGACAGAATAGGACTAAAAGCTTATTTGAAGAAATAATGGCTGAAAGGCTCCCCAAATCTGAGGAAATAAATGAGCCATACAGATCAAGCTCAATGAAATGAATTAGCAAGTCACATTTAAATCACACTGTCTGAAGCCAAAAAAGGACAAAATCTTAAAAGCAGCAAATGAAAAGCCACTGGTCACACATATGGGAGCATCCAAAAGACCATGAGCAGCTTTCTCAGCAGAAACTTTAAAAAAAATTTTATTTATTTATTTTTATTTTCTTGAAGTTTTTTTTGGCTGGGGCTGGGTTTGAACCTGCCACCTCCAGCATGTGGGGCCGGCGCCCTGCTCCTTTGAGCCACAGGCGCTGCCCTCTCAGCAGGGACTTTATAAGCCAGAATGGAGTGGGATGATATATTTCAAGTGCTAAAAGGAAAAAAAAAAAAACAACCCATTAACCCAGAATACTTTTTATGTCAATAACATCTTCAAAAAGGAAGAAAAAACGAAGACTTCTGCAGATAAACAAAAGTGGAGAGAGCTCATTACCACGAAAACACTTTACCAGAAATACTGAAGGGAGCCCTTCAAGTTGAAATAAAAGGACAACAGATACAACACTGTAAGCTGTATAAAAATGTAAGATTTCCTGCAAAGGTAAATACGTAGAAAAATACAGAAACATGTAATTTTGGTACACAGAATTTAAATGATGAAAACATAAAAACTAGAGATCTGTTTTAGTGGATATACATTATATAAAGCTGTAATCTGTGACATCAAGAACATAGTATGGGGGGTAAAACTTTAATATGTAACTGAAGTTGTTACCAGTTTAAAATAGAACTCTATAATTTTAAGATGTTTTGTGTAAATATCTGTAGAATAGATAAACAAAGAAATAAGAATCTTATCATTACAAAAAAAAAAATCAAAGAAACAGTGGGACTGCTGGACCAAATGGTAGGTCTAGTTTCTTCAGGGTGTTTCAACACAATTCTCCACAGAAGTTGTGCTAGTCTGCAGTCCCACCAACAGTGTATAAGAGTTTTTTTCTTTCCACATCCATGCCAGCATCTGTTGTTTTGGAACTTTTTAATATGAGCCATTCTGATTGGAGTTATTAGGTGATATCTTGTTGTGGTTTTGATTTGCATTTCACTAATAGATAGTGAACATTTTTTCATGGGTTTGTTGGCCTTTAGTATATCGTCACTTGAATAGTTTCAAGCTAGATTAAGATAATATAGAGAAGATTCAAATAACTAAAATCAGAAATGAAAAAAGGAATACTCCATATTACAATCAATGGCACTGAAATAGAAAGCATTTCAACACTATGAATAACTGTACACTATCAAACTGGAAAACCTAGAAGAAATTGATAAATTCCTAGAAACACAAACTTACCAAGAGTCATGAAGAAATACAAAATCTAAACAGATCATTAATGAGTAAGAACATCGAGTCAGTAATCAAAAACCTCCCAACAAACAACAACTCAGGGCCATAAGGCTTCACTAGAGAATTCTACCAGATATTAGAATAATTAAACCCAATTCTCCTGAAACCCTTCCAAAAAAGGAAGAGGAAATAACATTTCCAAGCTGAATTCTATGATGCCAGCCCTACCCTAATGTCAAAGTCAGACAAGAGACTACCAGAAAAAGAAAACTACACACCATTATCTCTGATAGACAGTAATGCAGAAATCCTCAACACAACACTACCAAATGAATTCAACAGCACATTAAAAAAGACAATGCACCATGACCAGGTGGAATTTATTCCTGGAATGCAAGGATGGTTCAACACATGAATATCAATCAATATAAAACAATATATTAGCAGAATGAAGGACAAAAACCACACAATCATCTCAGTTGATGCAGAAAAGGCATTTGACAAGATTCAACACCTTTTCATGATAAATACTTTTGAAAAACTAGAAATAGAAACTACCTCAACATAATAAAGTCCATTTATGAAAAGCTCACAGGTAACACTGTACTCAGTGGTGACAGACTGAAAACTGTTGCTTTTAAGATTAGAACAGGTCTGGCATGGTGGCTTGTGCCTGTAATCCCAGCATTTTGGAAGGCTGAGATGGGAACACTGCTTATGGCCAGGCGTTTGAGGTTGCAGTGAGCTATGACCATGCCACTGCACTATAGCCTGGCTGACAGAGCAGGACCCTGTCACAAAAAAAAAAAAAAAAATCAGGAATAAGGCAACACTATCCACTTTTGCCACTTCTATCCAACATAGTATTAGAAGTTGTAGCAAGAGTATACAGGCATGAGAAAGAAATAAAATGCACTCAAAATAGAAAGGAAAAAATAAAATTGTATTTGTTTGCATATGGTATGACATTATATAGAAAACCCTATATATGAAGATTCCAACAAAAAATTGTTAGAACCAATCAATAAATTCAGCAAAGAATAGGATATTAAATCAAGACATGAAAATCAGCTGGATTTCTCTACACTAACAGTGAATAATCTGGAAAGGAAATTAAAAAAAACAATTCCATTTATAATAGCATCAAAAAGTGTAAAATATTTAGTAATAAACCTAATCAAGGAAATGAAAGATGTATACAATAAAACTACAAAATACTGCTAAAAGAAATGAAAGATAAAAAATAAATGGAAATATATCCCATGTTCATGAGTTAGAAAACTTAATATTGTTGAGATATCCATACTAACAGCAATCTACAGATTCAACACCATTCCTATCAAAAGAACAATAGCCTTTTATGCAGAGAAATCCACTCCCAAATTTATATGAAATCTCAGGGTACCATGGATAGCCAAAACAATTCTGAATTAAGAATTATAACATTGGAGGTTTCATACTTCCTGATTTCAAAATATATTATAAAGCTACAGTCATCAAAACAGTGTGACACAGGCATAAAGACAATAGCAATGAAGTAGACCATCCAGAAATAAACCCTTTTGTATATGGTCAAGTGACCTTCAACAGGATGACAAGACCACTCAGGGGAAAGGACTTGGAGAAGACATGGAATCTTCTCCCTGTAAACTATGAAAGGAACTCTGCAAATGTAGAAGACAAAGGTATGAGATCCAAAAAACAAATGGGCAAAGGATATACCTGGGAATCCAAAGAAGGTGAAGGATCAACAGTTAATATGGAACCCAAAGGACACTCAACAGTCCAGTGATCAGAGAAATGTGAATTAAAACCACCAGATACAGTTAACAAAATGTGGGGAGAACTAATTTAATGCATTGGTGTGCCAAGTGGTATGACCATTCTGGGGTGCAATCTGATACTACTTTGTGAAGTTATAATATGTATGTCTCCTGAATATATGTCCCAAGAAACTCTACCAAAGGTCTTTCGTGAGCTATGTTTAGAGATATTCAGGGCTACATGTCCAAAGAGTTATAGGAAATCCAAGTGTTCTATCAGGAGGGCAATGGCCCATGACTAAGATGGAATATACGGAGAAGCCAGAAGTAATGAACTGGCTGTTTGTTAGAGCATTGGGACAGTTTCAAAAACACAGGGGTGAATGAAACTAAGAAACAGAATGGGATGGATACCAATATACCATTTCTTCGAATTAACAGCATATACACGCATCAAAGTAACACTACTGTGTGTTTTTCAAGAACACACACACACAAATACACAGTAAACACATCCCAGTGCCTGAGTGTACGACTGATCAGCTCCCTGACGTTGCCCTCCCACATCAACACAAAAGGCTCTCGCACACACGTTGGCGACTTGTGGGTGGGCGGTCAACACCCTTTCTCTGTGGGCACCACTATGGTTCTGAGGAAGGAGATTTTTATTTTACATGCTTTTATACCACAGAATGATTTTTACCATTTGTTCGTGTTTTTGGGTTTTTTTCCAAATAAACATCAGTTTAAAAGCAAAAAACAAAAAAGAACTACTGGAACTAATACCACCATCTACAAAAACGAGTTTTCCAAAATCTGATCTGGATGTAGGCTCAGAGAGGTTCCCCAGCACATGAAGACCAGGGGCACATCTGCAGAGCCCCTGATCTAGGCCCAGCCTAACACCAGGCACGGGGGCTGGGATGCTCCCTGTGCTTGAGACTCAGTGTCTGTGATAAATGCAAATACCAGTTACCCAAAATGTTAACTGAATGGTGAATATGACCATCTGTTACTAATGGGGGGAAGCAAATTTTTTAAAATGTCATAGCCTATAGCACATTGAATACCACTTAATGTGCAGTGTAACCTAGAAACCCAGGTTAAAATGCATGGTGGGAGCTGAGATGCTTGTTGTAAAGGGCAAGCAGGGTAAGAAGCCTGAAGCCGTGTGTGAAGGCCCTGCCCCATTCAGACCCTCAGCCCTCAGAGAGGACCTGCCACACCAGAGCAGGGATGGGGACAACAGCCAGAGGGGAGGAGAGAAGCGAGGTGAAGGGATCGCGTGCAGGGAGCTGGCCGCAGAGCGCCCCTTACCGCGCGATCTTGTCACTGCAGGACATGGTGAGCAGCCTCTCCCCCTGCAGCACCCCGTCCCACGTCTGGATGCTCGCGTTGGAGCGCACTGGAATTGTCCCCTCGCCAGACTCTATTTTGGTTCGAAGCTGACCTCTTGCCTTACGATTTGGATGTCTGTCTGCGGGTTCTGAGAGAGAGAAGTAGGGTTAAAACCCCCCAGACAGTAAATTTCTAATTTATTGAAAAGCACGTCTAACAATACCCTACAAATTTAAAATACAGTTTCTGCATCCATATGTCTATGTTTATACCATGTACACAAACACACACACAGCATAAGGACATAAAATGAACCAAATTCACAAAAGTGGTCTCCTTGGGGGCTGGGAAAAAAAGGGGGTTTCCGTTTTAACTGAAATGATTTATTTCTATCATTAAAAATGAACTGCAGCAAATAGGACATGATGCTAACACGTGCTGATTCTGAGTGACGGCTACTTGGGCATTAGCTATTATTCTTCTCTTGTATTTTTAAAATTTCAAAAATAAACCCAGACAGATGCAGAAATAAATCTATGACAAGTGTGCTAAAACATAATCCACAGTAATTATGTCTGGATTATATGAATATGGGTGACTTTAACGTTCTTATATTTTAAAAAATACTTAGCAGTTTTCACAGTGAGTACGTATGTTGTTTTTACAACCAAGGAAAATAACATAATCGACATCTATTTGGAATAAACCCTGCTTCGGTTTGGGAGAAGGGATGTGGATACGAATTACTAAAAAACAGAAGTGCTAACCTCATATCCAAAGAAGGATGCAATAAAACAGGATTGCAACAGGGATCCTGCTTTCCTTAGTGTCTATCTGTTTCTGAAATACCAGCCACAGGCTGTATCAGTAAATTACAGTTCATCAGGGATGTGGAGGACCACAGGCATCTCTGATGTTGAGAAAGTTATTAACCAAATTTAAATAGAGATAATTTTTTATCTAATATCTTTATTTTGATACTCAGTTAATTAGAATAAGCATTTCATTCATCAATATTTTCTAATTAAGTTAACAGAAAATTAAGACATCCATGTTTTTATAGAGATTCCGATTAGATCCACGTCCAACACTAAAATTTTAAAAAAGAGACAGGAGGACGTTAATGTAGGTTTGTTATTTTATGTGTTGCTATGTAATGATATATCTTCTTGAGAAACTGTCAATTGTTAGAAAATTGAATCTTATACCTTCCAGTATGGGCTCATGTGGTGAGAAAATCCTGGCATCTCCACAGGGAGAGGTGCTGATATACAGATGGAACTGGACATTCTCCTTCAGCTTAAACCCCCCTCGCTCAGATTTCTGAAAGATGGATCTTTTCTGATCATCTTTGCTGCTGAAAAGGAAAAAGTTACAAAAGTCACATTTAAAGCTATATATAGTCAAAATTTAGTCTATCATAGTTAAAAAATGATTTTCAGAGGCCAGTATTTTCAACAGGGGAAAGATAGGTTTCAATCAGAATGTTAATTTTGTATGTTTATAGTAATGACTGAAGCTCTTGCCCCCTCAGTGACGGGTATGTCATCCATATGTGAGCAGCTTTCCCTTCTCACCTAGGACTCAGAACAGAAGGCCACTTGTAAGATCAGTTTAGACACCTGATCAGCGCTTTCTAGAAACAGATTAGCATAAATGACCATCTCTGCTGGACAGACTTAAAATTTATGGCCACATTAGGCACATGTATCCAAATGTGTATATGCACGTGTGTGCGTTATAGTTTAGTGAACTCTACCTCAGAGCTTCAGCATCATGGAAAAGAGGGATTAAATCTTATTATCACTGATAAAGTCAACATTTTGAGTTTTTTCAGTGATTACAGAAACAATGAAAGTTTTGCCATGATTTTTAAAGGGAAAAACTGGTTTTAATAACAGCGTCCTTTACTTTCTCACTGAACTTACTTTAAGTAAAGCTCAAGTTGTGTGTACAGAAATCTAAGCAAGGACCTTCGCGATATTATCTCCGCATGGCAGTCATTGAGTGCGAGTCCCCGGTCGCTCATGTACTCGCCATTTATGCATTTCGTTCCCGTGGAGACACTGATCACCTTGGCATCTTTGACATCTGTGCCTGGAAAACAAACGAGAAGCTGTCTTCTGCCATGGCTGTGCCGCTGCCTGTGCCCCTGTGCTGGTGCCCCATTGGTCACTTGCCTGTCCAGGGGCCACAAGCTTCCCAAGCTCATCCCCACACATCCCCTCACACCTGCTTTTAGCTGGCACAGCTGCACACTGTGAGTGACTTTTCCTTTAGAATCTGCTCGATTCTAAACTCAAGGAAGTTACTTCCTCTGGAAGGTGAAAGTATTTTCTTGAACATTTATCACTGGTGCTGGTGGGGACGCTGCCCCAGACTGAATGATTTGCTGATTAACTTCAGTGTCAAATGTCGAAGCACCACAGGGGCAGGAGAGGATGGCTAATGAGCACCGGAGAGAAAAGAAGGAAGGCAGTGCGAACTCGCCATGTTCCCCTCAATCTCTGTCCCTGTAACCATGCTGGGGTGAGAGTGTGAGGGGCAGAGACTTCCACAGAGGGTCACTCCAGATTGACTCTGTGAGGCAGACCACTGACAAGAGCCCCCAACCACTACCTGAGTAGGCTCAGGTGACCCATACGAAACCC